GGTCTGTTCCAATAATAAACTAAATCAACAAGAACGGAAAAACAGAACGGCTCTTAATAAAGAGATTATGACAACTAAAATCACAATTAAGGAAGAAAATTCATACCTAGATGCAGATATAACTACTGAAGAAGTTAACTCAGCAATACAAGCCAAATCTAACACGGCAGCTGGGGCCGATATTCTAAACTATACTATAATGAAAATGCTACCAGCAAAAACCATTAAACAGATTACTGATTTCTACAATGAGATCTGGAAAGAGGGAGAGATTCCAAGAAGATGGAAGGAAGCAACTATCATACCTATTAAAAAGGCTAATAAGGACCCTCAAAAAGTAGACTCATATAGACCAATATCTTTAACATCCCACCTGGGGAAAATATTAGAAACAATCGTCAATAAAAGAATAACATTCCACATGGAGAAAAATAACCTGTTTAGTAAAACTCAGGCAGGGTTCAGATCTAACAGATGCACCCTAGATCAAATTATAAAATTAGAAGATCATGTTAAAAAGTCATTTAAAACAGGAGGTAAGACAATGGCAGTGTTCCTGGATCTGGAACAGGCATATGACCAGTGTTATCGGCCAGCAGCCTTGTTTAAAGCAGCTAAACTAGGATTTACCGGAAGAACGTATAGATATATCCGAAGCTTTCTACAAGAAAGAACATTTTCAGTACTAGTTAATAACGAAAGATCACAAACTTTTGATCAGGTGAATGGAATCCCTCAGGGTGCTGTAATATCCCCTACCCTGTTCAGCATATTAGTAAACGACCTTGATGATGCCATCACGAACAAGGACACGGGACTAACTCAGTTTGCGGACGATTGTGCAATCTACCACAGCCATAATCAGATCCCCTGCGCTAAGAAAAGATTGCAGAAAAGTCTAGACGAAGTTACGCATTGGATGGGAAAATGGGGATTTAAAATCAACGTCGACAAAACAGTAAGCATGATATTCAACTTTAAAAGACAGCTTAATTATGACCCAGAAGTAACGAGACTCCAAATTAATGGCAGAACAGTTCAGCGGACACGTTCGACGAAATTTCTAGGAATGATTCTGGATGAACAAATGACCTGGGCTAAGCACATCGATGATCTCGTAGTAAAGTGTACAAAGTACAATAATATGCTGAAAATGATTAAAGGAAACGGATGGGGAGCACACCAGGACACCCTAATACAATTTTATAAAGCTTTCGTTAGGGGCAAAATGAAATACGGAAGCATAGTATACGAATCAGCATCAGAGAACAGCAAATGCAAACTTGATAGGATTCAGTGCCAAGCCCTGACTTCCATCATGGACGCTGGCAAAGGGACATCGAGAGAGGCCATGGAGGTAGCACTAGGCATCACACCGCTTAACCTCAGAAGGAAACAACTAACTTATAGCTATTGGATGAAAGCGGCCAACTATGCCAGACACCCAGCTTCAGACGCTTTTCATCATAACATTACCCACCTAGGTGACAGACCGGTCAGAGACATACAGAGACCAGCAGCCTGGGACGCTGCACTAGAAATTAACGATGATGAGGACTTAGCTAGGACTCTAGAGGCAAGCGTTAGGTTTGTCCCTCAAATCCCTCCATGGAGACTAGAGCTGCCCAGGACAGACATGAGTCTGATGAAAATTATTAATAAGAATACTGAAACATTTGAAGCCAAAGCAATAACAGAAGAATACATAGACCAGATCCGATCAGACAATCTGGTTGCATACACTGACGGATCAAAGAATGAAGCAGGAGAAGTAGGAGCAGGAGTAATAATCCCACAGTGGAATATACAAAGAGAATATAAAATAACAGATCATGTGGCAGTATGCACAGCAGAACTAGTCGGCATAATGAAGGCACTAGAGATGGTAATTAATAAACCTCCAACTAAATTTACCATACTGACAGATTCATTGTCCTCGGTGCAGACGTTAAAAACACATAAAACTAACAGTAGATCAGATATTAAAGAGACAATCCTAAATCTAACAACTCAGCTCAAGAATAAAGGATGCCAAGTCACCATTGCATGGGTACCAGCACACAGAGGTGTAATAGGCAATTAAAAAGATGACATAGCAGCCATAAAGGGAGCAAAATGTGATGTTTTAATAGATGTAGGACTCGGAAAAACAGAAAGGACCAGCATAATCAAACGACATATAATTAAAAAGTGGAAACTGCAATGGCAAGGGAGCAATAATGGCAGAGATGCCTACAATAACCTTAAAGAGCCCAGCCTTAACACACAGGTACGGGACAAACTGAAAATTCCAGCCAACAAACTACTATGGAGAGCTAGATTAGGGTGGCACCCAGAGAAATTTACATCTCCACTATGTCTGGACTGCTTTCAAGATAATACATTCGAGCATTATATAATAAACTGCACTAAATATAAATTGGAGAGGAAACCCATTGAGGAGTTTTTTATAAAACGCAAACAACAAATTACTGCAAACAAATGTTTAAATGTAGATAGCAATAAAGACATCCAAAAACTGGTTAAACAATACCTTATTAAAACAAATCAAAACTAAAAAGACCAGATTAGGGATTTACTCAGTATAACAGAAGGAACTGATGAGATGGTAACCCCGGACATCCTAGAGTCAGAAAGATAGTGTAAGTATGATGAGTGCATAGATGTGAACATGGACACATACACAAGGATGAGTGCGTGTAGTATGAGTGCATTTGTGTATAGGATGGATACATAAGACACAGTGTATGTAGGCGGATGGTACGGAATCACGTGTGGACGGAACAGTGGGAATATAGTTGTGCGAAAGGTACAGATGAATGAGTACATGGATTTAAATGTTACTGTATGCATGTATATAACAATTCTCATCGCCGATCATTTGGATCTCAAAGCGTGAGCTGGACGGTCCGGTTATATGGTATTTACGTACACCGGAGCTTAGCTATCAACACAACCCGATCACATAATAACAAATGACGACTGGACCCGCTTAAGACTCCACACAAACTCTCACACACATATCCAATACATGACTAACCCGTTCATATTACAGGAAGACAACTATAAGACCACTATGGTCACACGCGGAAAATTTTCACATTTCGGAACTATTCACATTCAAAAACTGTTTTCAGTACTTTTTGGCAAAATTAAAATACTCAAAATTTTAAAACAATAAATGGTGGCCGAAAGGTCGTTGTGTTTGGAAGCTCGCTCTCCTTCGAGATACGCCTAGCCAGATCAAAGGGAGACAGAACAAACAGGAAACACCAAGAATGAAGAAGGAAGACATGCACCAGTGACAACAGGACGAGCGGTTTGATACGGAGGGAAGCATTAAGCCAGAAATGGCACAAACACCAGTATTCAGTCACGAAAGTGACGCAAATAACCCAGACCACAAATATAGGCGGAGACTGTTAGCAGCCTAGGCTAGCTAGCAGCAGTCTGAACGTGGTCGAGCTTTTTTTTCTTAAAAGGACTTGGACTTGGACTTCGCCGCCAAAGCCACTCCCACCTCTTACCTCACTCTGACAAAAGCAGCAAACCTCAGGCAGAAATGTAAATCGCCACAACAGAAAAAGTTGATAACTGGAACGAATTCCAGACACCAAAACGCCGACCTCGATATAACCAATGCTCAGTCTAGGAGCCGGTTGAAAGAGGCATGAAGTTTTTCATTTTTTTTTTTTTCGAACACCAAGTACCAAGTACCAAGCTTATACAGGTGATTTTCATCCATACGCGACTCATACGGGACGGTGAGCTCAATCAGGATGAGCTGTCGTTTCGCCGCAGAGTGGAGGACTATGTCAGGTCGCAGACCGGTCTTCCAGATCAACTCAGGGTACCGTTCATGGCCTGGCAGATCAACCGCCAGTAACCTATATTAAACCCGGGGTTGGTATATAGGCTTGTTCCACCTTCCCCCTACGTGTGTGTATGTGTGTTTGTTTGTGTGTGTATGTATAACTGTGTGTGCTGTGTGTGATTATTTTCTATTCCCAAATTTAAAGTTACGATTGAAAGGACGCCTCTTTAACGATATTGATGACATCCAAAGGGCCGTAACATCGACTTTAGGGGCCATTACAAAAGAAGAACTACAGAGGTCATTCCAGTGTTTGTTAAATCGTACCTCTAGCTGTATCAATGTATAAGGGTCGAACTGTGAATCATATACAGGTTATATCCTCAGCTGTTGATTATTTTAATTTTTATGGAATTAGTCTCATTACATAATAGTCGGACCTTGTATTTTACCACCAATGCTTTTGTTTTTGACTTGATATTCATAATATGGATATAATATTATTTAAACATAACATGCTTTATTGATAAAATACAACTGCTATGTGAAGATTGGAGTGTGGAAGGACCGAATTTAAGACAGGCCTGTGTGCCTAATTTGTGACCCTTTGAAAATAAAGTTTGTTTGTTCGTTCATTCCTCCACTTCCCATCTTAAACCCGTCTTAAACCAGAGGTGTGTATATAGGCTCCCCCATCCCCCACCTCCACCAACCACTCCTTATCTTAATCCAGAGGTTTGTATATGGGCTGGTCCCCCTCCCCCCTCCCCAATCCCTATTTTTACCCACATGTAAGTAAATGAGCTTAGTCGCCCCCCCCCCCCCCACATCTTTGACCAGAGGTTTGTATATGTGCTTAGCTCCGCCACCCCCTCTCCCCCCCAAAAAAACCCCACAATAGCGGTGTGTATAAATTCTCTTTTTAAGAGAATGTATGTGTGTGTGTATATCACATTCTTTCAAATATAGTATTACATTTTTGTCATGGTCGTTGTTGTTTTGTTATTGTTATTAGTATTATTTTTGGGGACTTAGACAAACTTAAGCCGCTCAAAGACCCTCCCCTCGTGTTAGCAAATGTGTACGAGAGCAGAGTCAATACAATCTTCTCTTTTTTTAGGCGTCCTTGATTCCTTGTGCTTCCGCGGCTCTGTGCACCAGTCAGGGATGATTCCGATGAACTTACCTCTTGTTCGATGTGCGAATATTCTGTCAGCCGTTCCACTGAGACAATGCTGGACTCAAAGTCATTGATTTGTCTGATCAGATAAGTCAGCATGGATGAGACCTAAAGTGGACATAAGAACATGTGGATGTGTCACCAAAATTATTATTTATAGATACATGAGACCTAAAGTGGACATGAGAACAAGTGGATGTCTCTGCAAGATTATCATTTATAGATGCATGAGAGCATTTGGATGTTTCAACAAGATTATCATTTATGAAGGCATGAGACCTAGAGTGAGCATGAGAGCATTTGGATGTTTCAACAAGATTATCATTTATAGATGCATGAGACCCAGAGGCGATATGAGAACGTGTGGATGTGTCAGTAGGATTATCATTTATAGATGCATGAGACCTAGAGTGAGCATGAGAGCATTTGGATGTTTCAACAAGATTATCATTTATAGATGCATGAGACTCAGAGTGAACATTAGAGCATGTAGATGTTTTAATAAGATTATCATTTATAGATCCATGAGACCTAGAGGCGACATGAGAACGTGTGGATGTGTCAGTAGGATTATCATTTATAGAGGCATGAGACCTAGAGGCAATATGAGAACATGTGGATGTTTCAGCAAGATTATCATTTATAGATGCATGAGACTCAGAGTGAACATTAGAGCATGTAGATGTTTTAATAAGATTATCATTTATAGATCTATGAGATCTAGAGGCGACATGAGAGCGTGTGGATGTTTCAACAATATTATCATTTATAGAGGCATGAGACCTAGAGGCAACATAAGAGCTTGTGGATGTTTCAACAAGATTATCATTTATAGATCAATGAGACCTAGAGGCGACGTAAGAGCTTGTAGATGTTTCGACAAGATTTTCATTTATAGATCAATTAGACCTAGAGGCGACATAAGAGCTTGTTGATGTTTCAACAAGATTATCATTTACAGTTACATGAGACCTAAAGGGGGCCTAAGAGCATGTGTATGTGTCAGCAAGATTATCATTTTTAAATACAAGTCCGTGGTGTTTTCTCTCTCTCTCTCATGCTCTCTCTCTCTCTCTCTTTTTTTTGTCTCTCTCTCGCGCGTGCGCACACGCTCTCTTTTCACCCTATCTTTAATTTGTGTCCTGGGGTAAGTCAGAATTGACGAGATCTTAAGTGTCATTTTAGATGTGTATGAGCGTGTGTGCTTGCATACTTGTAATTGTTATATGCGTGTGTTTTTTTCTTTCTCCTATTGTATACATGCATTAAAAAAAAAAAAGAAATTTAGGGAAGAAAGAATCAGAGAGAGAGAGAGAGAGAGAGAGAGAGAGAGAGAGAGAGAGAGAGAGAGAGAGAGAAGAGAGAGAGATGTGTGTGTGTGTGTGTTTGTAAAGGACGAAAGGGAAGGATTAAAAAAGAGGATGAGAACGAAGATACACAAATAAGGAAACAGAAACAGTGAGAGTGTGAAAGAAAGACATATCAAAAGTAGAAGAGAAAAGGTAAAGGAGAGATATATAGATTGAGAAAAAAGAGAGCGGGGGAAAGAACGAAATAAAAAAAAATAATTTTTTAGAGAAATGGACAGGTGCCTAGTGTGTCATATTCTTAGTACACTTGTTTCTATAGCGAGGCGCACACGCCATTTGGTGGTGACAGGTTCAATTCCAGGCACGGTAACTATAGATTTCGACTGTTATGTTGTCTAGTGTTTCCTTCTGTGGTTTCACTCCTTTCTATGAGTGCTAATAATACACTGTCTGTTTATTATATGTCAGAATGGCTAGTGCACATGCAGCTAAAGATTAAAAACAAAAAAGAATGAAGAAGGGCTAGTATTTCAAGAAGAAGGGCCAGTGTTTCAAGAAGAAGGGCTAGTATTTCAAGAAGAAGGGCCAGTGTTTCAAGAAGAAGGGCCAGTGTTTCAAGAAGAAGGGCTAGTATTTCAAGAAGAAGGGCTAGTATTTCAAGAAGAAGGGCCAGTGTTTCAAGAAGAAGGGCTAGTATTTCAAGAAGAAGGGCCAGTATTTCAAGAAGAAGGGCCAGTGTTTCAAGAAGAAGGGCTAGTATTTCAAGAAGAAGGGCCACTATTTCAAGAAGAAGGGCCAGTGTTTCAAGAAGAAGGGCTAGTATTTCAAGAAGAAGGGCCAGTATTTCAAGAAGAAGGGTCAGTGTTTCAAGAAGAAGAGCCAGTGTTTCAAGAAGAAGGGCCAGTATTTCAAGAAGAAGGGCCAGTGTTTCAAGAAGAAGGGCCAGTGTTTCAAGAAGAAGGGCTAGTATTTCAAGAAGAAGGGCCAGTATTTCAAGAAGAGGGGTCAGTGTTTCAAGAAGAAAGGCCAGTATTTCAAAAAGAAGGGTCAGTATTTCAAGAAGGGCCAATGTTTCAAGAAGAAGGGTCAGTGTTTCAAGAAGAAGGGCCAGGAGAGACATCATCAATGCCATACGAGAGACTAAACGCCGTCATGTTTTCAGTTTAGTGAAAAAGGATTTGTCACTGAAAAGACTGCATACCCTGGATGTACCAATTGGAGCTGCGGGACAGGAAAACCATGCGGGAGCCACTCGTTGTTTTATCAGCCAGAACAGAATAGGAGTCGTTAGCATGGGTGAAAAAGGTTATCAAAACTCATTAGGGACATGACTAAAGTGCTTGCCAAACGTACAACTAAAACTACAACCCTTGGTTAAAAGATTGCGGAGTGAAGAGAACATTGTTCTGCTGAGACTCAACCCTTGACCTAGAGATTTACCCGTAGCACAGACGAGTAACATCTCCTGTGGGTGGCGTCTCGCAGCAAGATTCTACCCATGTACTTCCTCTGTTAACCCTCCGTGTCGTCGTCACCGCGCTGAGGTACACCACAATAGCAACAGCCCATTTCCTGGCTAAGACTAAATGTCCGACAAAACTATATCCTACGGCACACGAGTAAGCTCAAAATCCGACCATCACAAATCGTATTGAATGGGAAAAGTCCAAATGTCCACACCCAAAGACCCCACTCGCCCGAGTGTTGGGACCAAGCAGATAACGATATGCCTGATGCAGGATGTTAAATTCTGTCATGCTAACGGCTCGTCAAAGATATCTAACGTGCGAAAAAAAATAATGTACCTATTCGTGTGGTCACAAAAGTCTAGAACCCGCGGGCTGCTCCCCGCTGATTTCCGGAGGGCACAGCCCTTGTCGAGCGGGAGGCCTAATACGGTTGTGAGGTTAAGCAGGCATGTGCAGGACGTGACGATTTCTTGGGTGAGCCTAGAAACAGAGCACCATGTGCCGGCACAGCCAGTGAACGAAGAAGAAGAAAGAAGATAATATAGTTTCTGTGATTTGCCAGACATTCCTTTCCAATGTTGTTATTTTACTGTTTCAGTCCCAGGAGAATTGCTCAAGGAAGTAATAGCCACCACCATGAGTCCATTACTTTCAAACTGGCTGCTCTCGAGCAGGCACCCATTGTAGAAGCTAGATCTTCCTAATAGGTTTTCATGCTAGGACAACATATTAACAAGTCAGATTAGCAATAAGTGATTTTACGGATATAAAGGGAAAGACTAAACACAAGTCTTGCATTCTTTGGGACTGAAAGATCAACCCACAACACCATTGATTTGGTCTGTTTACATCAGTCCATCATACCGTCTGTAAATGTGTATTTGGGTGTTTGTGTGTGTGTGTGTTTATAGACACACACACACACACACACACACATATATATATATATATATATATATATATATATATATATATATATATATATATATATATATATATATATATAAAGAGAGAGAGAGAGAGAGAGAGAGAAAGTTAGAAAAAGATCATAGGCACCTATCTGGCAATTACATAAAGATAATGATACCAACGTTGACATCTTCAGAAGGACAGACCTGTAGAGTAGTGGACACTGACAATCCGATGTCGCCGCCATCACCGCTTGCCAGAATAACAAAGATACTGCTGAGGAAGACTATGGCATTGGCCAGTCCATCCACTCCAAGTTGTAGCCAACTGGTGAACGAAATAACGTGAAATATGTTATTTCCTTCTTCTTTCCGCCAGCAAGCGTTTAGTAAAGAGGATAGTACAGTAAATGGCCGTTTTCAAGCCATTGGCATAACCGGTATGTGGTCATCATCATCATTGTCTTGTTGTACCATTCTATGCCACACAGGGCTCATAGTCTATTCCTCCGTTCCGTTCTATCCTCGGCTGGCTGACAGGTTCAGAAAACATCTTTTCGATGTGCAAAATGGGGCCCTGACACCAGTACCGTTGCACTTCAATTCCCAGGATCACCAAGGTGTCCACGACATAGAGGTGACAGCCCTTAAATCTAGCCATTCCAGTGACAGAGTCAGCAAATCTCTTGAGAATCGCTTTGTTTATACTCTGGGGACTTTGACGCCCTCCGGAATGAATTGCCAACACAGTTTCATTTAAACTTTCAGGGGATTGAACTGCCCTCCCAGTTGCTACCCCTACACCCCAGTATTTATTCCCCCAGCTGACAAGTGCGGACATTCTGCTGAGTAACCACCGACCTGACCGCGTCGAGATACCAGCTAAGGGATTTTGTGTATCCATGTAGTATTGTTTAATGTGTATGTGCTGATGAAGGCTCAATAGCCGCAACGTTCACGTTTTGTTTGTATTTGTTATATTGTGAAGCTTGCTAATATACTTTTCGTTCGGGCTTATATTTTTCGTTCTATTTTGTGTAGTCAGTTTACTATCATGGATGGAACCCTGGACTGCACCTTTGGCCACTTTTATCAACGTTAGTTTTATGGTTTCTTCTGGTCGTCCTCGACTCCCTAAACCATTTATGTCCAGTTTAGTTCCTGTCTGGTAAGTCTCTGCTGGCTTATTCTCAGGATGTATCCAGTGTAGCGCCATATTGTCTGTCTTATAACTGTTGATACGAGTAGCTGCCCAGGCATTTCTCTTATTTCTTCACCACTCCTAAATTCATCCTATTTTATCTTTAACATTTTCCTCAGAGATTTGTTTTCGAATAAATTTAACTTTTGTTTCCTGTCTTTAGTGGTTCTCCAACTTTCACCGCCATAAATGTTAAATTTAAATAACATTAAAATTGGAAAAATCGTAATTTGGTTTTAAAACTATACAATTTAGAGTTCTACATTTTGTAGAGGCTTTTGAAAGCTGATGATGCCTTGCCAATGTGTATAATATTTTTGTTTCTTTATATGTGGGGCTAGACCTATATTTCTATAGATGAATCGGCGCACGATGTGTTTTGCGGTCAACTTTATTTTTAATTCACCCCAAACAAAGGAAATTCCGGAGTTTCCAGGAACGTCCACTATTTTATTGGGTGTCTTGGGTTGGGATTATGTTTAGGTTTAGGTTCCTTGTCAGCCTTGTCAGCCCAGACAGCCTCAAAGACGCCAATAACACTAACCTAAGAATATTTTTCTGTCTAACCCTATATCTAAGCCTAAAAGTAACCCAAAACCTAACCTCAGCACGTGACATACAAAGAATACTGGCCTTTGGAATTCTAGGGCTATTTATTCTTGGGCAGCACGTGTCTTTTTCATCCCATTTGCAAGTCAGTTAAGTGATTTTGTGTACTCGTGTGGTTTTGTGTACTCGTGTGGTTTTGCTTGATTTATGTAATGTGCTGAAGAAGGCTCTGTAGCCGCAACGTTCACTTTCTTTTTGTGTTTGTCATATTGCGCAGCTAGCTGGTCTACTTTTCGTTTGGTTTTATATCTTTCCAAGAATACTGGACTTTTCCGGAATCCCCGGAATTGCCTTTGGTTGGGGGGGAATTAAAAATAAAGTACCCAGCACCACGCCAACTGCTTTTACTGCTCAGGCAACTGGCAACTGGGAAAAGCGCAAGGAGAAGGCAACGAGAAAAATATCTTGACGGCTAATTCTAGTGATGGTGTAAGATGACCGTCCACACAGAACTACATATTACTCCGTAACCCTTTTGTGGTGCCTCAGTATAATTGCTGTTTGGCTACACAGTTGAATGGGGTTTATGCGATTTGTGTCTGTTTGATTCTCATTCTTGAGATGTTATTCCTACAAACTGCAATCCTAAAGAGGAAAATGTAATTAATAATAATATTAACAAATAGATCAATAAAAGCGAAACCGTCTATTCATATCGGTGCGGAACATGATGGAAATGATGACAAACAGACCACTATGAGGTTATACCTGTAAGCTGCTTGACTGGTAAAAGAGGGAAGTTGGTTTAGGTCAACCCTTTCTTCAAGTTCTCGTATAAATCTCTGTGTTGCCCCGTAGGCCCTGATAATCACTGCACCGGTAAACGTCTCACTCAAATGAGTAAACACCGGAGACCTGGTGTTGGATTCAATCCTCTTTAACTGTCTGACTGTACGTCTGTGGTACCTCTGAAAAGAACAGAAAAAATGTTGACAACTATGTTATGCTGGAGTCATTAAAGTGGAGCTTTGGGGGGGGGGGGGGGGAACTAAACAAATTCCAGTGAATCCAAAAGTAAAGAGAAGGCGCTAGCGTGGGACATACTCGTACGTTGAGAGAATCTGAGAACAGTATAACCAGAAGGTCTCTACACTGGAACCAACAATACAAACAGACCAAAAACACACGGAGAAGGGAGCTGGAGGGCGAAGTTACAAAGACAGGGAGAGGGGAAGCTGCATAAGATCGCAGAGGGTAAGACGTGTTGGCGTTGGCTGGCTATGCTCCAAACACGTATAGTTCGGTTTAAATATATTTAGTTATCCATTGCTTATTATTTCAAATATATTATTCCAGGAAAAAATCCATCACCAGAAAGTATGCAAAACTAGTAAAGCATACGTTTATTAGCTAAACCAGTTTGGATAATTCAAAAGTGAATTAGTGAGAAATATAATGAAGATTCTTTCATCAGTGCAAGACACTTTAGATTTAGGAAGAAAAAAAAAACTTAAATCCTTTGATTGTTAAAGACATAATCAAAGAGATTTCAGATGATAGTCACCAAGACAAAGTTCAAGTGCTCTGTAATAGTGTGCAAGACCTTTACGAAGGATGCTTGGAATATCTCACTATGGGGGTCCAACCACTAAATGAATTTTCTTATTTCAAGGAGCTTGATTTTGATTACATGTCATGGGATAATGTTGAAGCTCGCATCAGATTTTTGAAAGACAAAAATATGCTTGTAGATGATTCAAACTCCTGTGATAAGTACTGCCATCTAGAGTGATTAGCTTTTCTGAGGATTACCGCCGGAGCTACAGAATTTGTACTCTGTATGATGCTGCCGATGAACACCTGTTTTGTGGGGGAGAGTAGAAAAGAGAGAGAGAGAGAGAAAGAGAGAGAGAAAGAGAGAGAGAAGAGAGAGAGAGAGAAAGAGAGAGAGAGAGAGATAAATAGATAGAGGTGCGGTAAACTCTGGTGCAATGAAGTCGATCCCCCTCGACTTTAACCTTTATCATTATAACTCTTAAATATACATGTAGATCATCACTCAACAAGATAGCTTTACCTGGATGATGAAGAAGGCGATGCAAATAGGAACCAGAACGGCTATAAGTATGGGAGTTTGAACGACGATGATAACGATGACCATAACGGCAACCGACACAATGACCAGGCTGTCGTTGAGACAAACTGGAATCACACTGTCCACAGTGTCGACGTCTTTGGATAACCTGTCGAGCAAAGTACAAATGAGGTTCAGTTGTAGTTCGGTATACACCCAAAATTCGCTATTGATCCTTTGAAGTATACCAAACACGACTGTACACAATTCTCAGTCTACGGAGACTAGGTCACACAGGGAGAATGGAGGATGGCAGAGTCCCTAAGGACATTCTCTGTGGTGAATTGACGACGAGTAAAAGATGTCGAGGCCGACCTCTACAACAAAATAAATATGTGTGCAAACAAGACACAAATGATACAGGTAATAAGGTGAACTCGTGGGAACAAAATGACATGGACATTGTTGTGGTAAATGGGAACTCCAGGAAGGGATTCAGAATAAAGGAATAAGTGATAGCAAAAAGGACGAGAGCTGAGCGACGTAGTTTCTCACTCGATCTCTTCTGGTTTTATTAACAGGCATTCTCAAACATCTCACCTCACAGGTGGTTAGTTTTCTCTCGTGTTCTTTTGTCAATGTCCAAGTCTGACACAGGTAACCTATAGTCGGTAAAAATTTTGTTTTTATAATTTGTCTTGTTGTCCAAATTTGGATATCAAGGTTTTTTTTAAAAATTTGAGCAAGCAGGTACGTGACACTGTTGGCTTGTTTAATTCTCATTTATATCTCTGTGTCTACGTTACCACTGTATGTAAAGATGCTTCTCAAGTATTTAAATTCTTGCACATGTTTCAGACATTGATCGTTGTGTCGATGGTTAGTTACTCTCTACTTATTCTCATGACTTCTGTTGTGTGTGTGTGTGTGTGTGTGTGTGTGTGTGTGTGTGTGTGTGTGTGTGTGTGTTCAGTATTGATCTCCATGTTATGTTTAAGGCAACTGTCGTGTAGTTGGTTTATGTGGCCATGCAGCTGTTTACTTCCACTGTGGAATATGCTCTGATCTTCGGCAAAGAGCAGTTGAAGTAGTCCTGTTTATCAACATCTAGTGGTGTTATGTCTAGTTTATTAATATTGTCCATGGATATTATAAAAAGTAAAGGCGAAGGAACACACTTGCCTTACTCCTGATGTTACTGGGATCCAGTCTGTGAGGCCAGCTCTTGTTCTGATGGGGCTTTCACGTTCTCTATAGATAGCTCTTACACGAACTAGCACTGTTCCATTTATACCATAGTTTTCAAAGACATTCCATAGTAAATCTATGTTTACTCTGTCAAACGCATTTTGTTTTTTAATCTTTAAAAGCGATGTTTATTTAGTGTCTGTGTTCTGTTGGTTTTTCGCTAACTTGCCTTAGGACGAAAACAGCGTCAGTACACCCTTTTCCTATCCTGAATCTGACCTGTGATGGGCTCAGAATCGGTTCTACCACAGATCCAATTTGTTGTTCCAGAATCGTGGCAAATATTTTACCGACGTGGCTTAAAGGGGAGATGCCTCTATAAGTGTTATAATCTTGCTCATTGCCTTTTCTTTTCCATATTGGTACTATAATGGATCTTTGCCAGTCCATTGGTACAGTTCTTTCATTCCAGGTTTTCCTAAAAATATAAAATAGCCAGGTGACTCCAGTTTCTCCACAGGCTTGCATTACCTCAGCTGTAATTCCATAAACACCAGCGGCCTTATTTTTTTGGACAGCCCCTGATTGCTTATCTGACTTCTTCTTCAACTATTCCAGGCTATTCCTTACAACAATGGTCCTGATATCTCATGCTATATCTGGAAGTGAATGGTACTGTTACTTCATTTGCACCAAGTCTGACGCATACAGTGTATACTGAGGCACTACTGTATTAACAAATAAGTATTAGCCGAAACAACATAGATGAAGAGGACCTGCGTTATAGTAATACATATTAACATGTGTAAAGTCACAATAATAATATACAATAACTCATGAAATATTATGCACCACTTAAAATACCTCTAACATCACTTGGCTCCCAAATGTTGTCCCCAAACAAGTCTAACACAGTTTCCTTTTTCTTATTGCAACTGATTTTTTGGTGTTTTTTTTTTTGTTTTGTTTTGTTATTGGTGATTATCTTTGGAGCTGGCTAAATGATTCTTTTGTCATAACGATGTGTTTTTAAATCAGTGAAATTACGATTAAAAACCAAAATGTGGGGCAGTGATATTATCAGGTGGAAGAAGAGTGGCACAGATAGCAATCAGAAGTAGCTGCTATTCCGAAACTAGGGGGAAAAAACAGATTATGTGCAGCTTGCTTTGTTCCAAACTTATTGGTGTTACCATTCCTTTGGAGTAAACAAGGCAGGTCGAGAGAGCGATCATGATGATGAGGCAACATATGGTCTCAACAATACTGTCCAGACTTTGTGCTTTGGAGAGGAAGAACATCATCTCTGGTAGTAATTGGTCTCGGAAACAAATCGAGAGGCAACAGTTACAAGTTATAAGTCCTAGTCAATTGGCGTAGACGAGGGCGCCACGGGTTGCCTCTGACGGTGGGAGACAACATCGAACGTCACTTATCAACAACAGCTCCCCTCAAGCTGGGCAGCCCCAAGCCAATAAGGCGTTTATCTGCCACAGCCTGTGTGCTTCAATGGGTGCTTCGAGCTAGGACAAAATCCGTATCGAAGCCGGCTGTAAAAACCAGTGCACCGGGCAATAAAAAGAAATATAACTTCAAGCTTGAACCTGGCTCTTGGAACGTGAGGACCATGTGTCCCGGTTTTCCACTGACCTGGAAAACATTTGTGACGTGAGAAAAATGGCTATCATTGATGTCGAACTCAGTAAACTTGACACAGACATTGCTGGCCTACAGGAAACCCGTCTGCCAGAGGATGTGTCTATTAGAGAAAATAATTATACATTCTTCTGGAACGGCAGAGGCCAGGATAAAAAAAATCCGGAAGTATGGAGTGTGATTGGCAGTAAAGAATTCACTGTTTGATCAGCTGAGAGTAAACTGGAGAAAAAGACGGCTTATTATCTCTACAATTGTCTACCTCAAGCGGTTTTATTACCCTTGTTACTGCACATGCGCCTACTCTAGCGTCAACGGGGGACGCACATGTTTCCCTTTATAAGGAACTGAAAAATGCAGTGAAAGTAATTCCTAAATCTGATGGCATCTATATACTTGGTGATTTTAATGCTCGCGTGGGATGGGACTTAAACTCATGGCCAGTTTGTATCGGAAAATATAATGTTAGTCATCTGAATTAAAATGGACGAGACTATTTGAATTCTGCACTAGAAGTGAACTGTACATCTTAAAGTCCTTTGTCAAAACAAAAGACCGCCACTGGCACCAGTTGGACCTTATTCTCACTTGGAGGCATCACTTGAACTATGTGTCAATAACTCGCAGCTACCACAGCGCTGACTGTGATACTGACCCTTTCCTAGTTGCTTCAAGAGTTAGAATGAAACTAAAAAGAATTTTCACTTAAGAAAATAAATACATACCCAGGTTAAATATTTTCCAAACTAAAAGCCCTGAAAAGTGTTTTGAGTTTCAACAACAGCTCGAAGATGCTTTCACTGGTATCCAGGATAACTAAAGCAAGCCTAAAATGTGATGCAATAAAGGAGACTGTCTACAGAACAGCTGCACCAGTCTATGGGACTAGAGAAAACAGAAGTAAGGACTGGTTTGAAGCAAATAGCCAGACACTCCAGCCCCTAATTGACAGCAAAAGGGTAATACTTCTCAGAAACAAGGAAAGAACAACAAGATACACCCTCAGTGAATTAAGAGAAGATAGAAATCATTTGCAAAAGGTAGCTAGACTGTGTGCCAATGACTGCTGGATCCAGTTATGTAAAAGCATTCAAAATGCTTGCTGTAGTCTTAATGTTAGAGGCATGTATGAGGGGATAAAGAAGACCATCGGCCTCATAATTTAAAAAAAGTGCACCACTAAAAAGTTTGAATGGGAAGATTATTATTGACAAGAAGAAACACCTGGATAGATGGGTGGAACATTATCTGGAGCTGTATTTAGTAGATACTAAACTAACAGATTGTACTCCTAGAGCCATGAAGACGCTACCAACTCTTGACTATCTGGACGCACTTCCAACAATTGTAGAAGTCAGGAATGCTGATGAATTGGCTTCGGGGAAACATCCAGGCAATGATGGAATTCCTATTGAGATCATCTGGAATGGGAAGGACATTCTAACAGCACACATCAGCTAATATCACTCTGCTGGCAAGAGGAACAGGTTCCGCAAGACTTCAAGACTCAAGCATCATAACTATGTACAAGAACAAGGGTGATCTGATTGACTGCAATAATTACAGGGGAATATCACTGCTGTGTACTGCTGGAAAAGTAATTGCGATAATTATTTTGCGAGGACTCCAAATCCTATGAGACCAGGTTTACCCAGAGTCACAGAGTGTGGCTTTCATGGGAACCGGTCCACCACTGATATGATATTCTTATTACGACAACTGCAGGAAAAATGCCGTGAACGAAATTAACTGCTGTATATTGCTTTCATTGATCTTACCAAGGCATTTGATTTGGTTAGTCGAAAAGGTCTGTTCAACTTACTAGAAAAAGATTGGGTGTTCACCTACTCTACTGAGTATTACTGAACCATTCCACACAGGTATGAAAGGTACAATCAACGTTGATGATGTAACATTGAGTTTGTAATCAACAACGGAGTGAAGCAGGGATGTGTTCTAGCTCCTACTCTCTTTGGAATATACTTCTCATTTCTTCTGGAACATGGCTTTCGAGGTCAGGAGGGTGGTACATTCATTCCTTCTAGATATTATGGCAGAGCTTGCAATGCTCGTAGGCTGAAAGCCAAAACTAACATAATAACTGTACTTATCAGAGAGCCGCTGTTTGCAAATGATGTAGCAATAACTACCCACTCAGAGGAGGAGCTGCAATATTTACTGTCTGCCTTTGCTGAAGCATGCTCTGAATTTGGACTAACTAGCAACAACAACAATAACAAAAAGACAAAGGCTATGGTGCAAAGTGTTAACGATATACCCGTAGTCTATATTGATGGTGAGGAGCTGGAGTCAGTTGACCATTTT